CACATTCCTAACCCTTTTAATTTTTTATTTTAAGACAGGGTCTCACTAAGTTGTTTAGGGCCTTGGTAAATTGCTGAGGGTGCCTCAAACTTCCAATCTTCTTGCCTTAGCCTTCTAAACGGCTGGGATTATAGGCATGTGCCCTATGCCCAGCTAAAAAGGATTCTTTAGAAACATAACCTGCTTACCAATACCTGTCTTTGACTCATATTCTACTTTCAATAAAGCATGAAAGTGAAAAACTTGCTGCTCCTGTTGTGGAAAAGTGTCTTCAGATTTAGACTCCCCTCTGGTTGGACGCCTGTGTCAGTGTTGGTAAAGGAGAGGCATCTGCTTGTCTCCTGCAGTGAGCAAAGGACTGTCTCCTTGTTCGCTTCAAAGGCTTTCTGACTTAGTACATTTCAAAAAAGCAGGGAAAATGTTCCTTACATGTGTATCAGCTTCCTTCAGTTTGGCTTTTATTCATAAGTGGAAAATCAAATATTCCTTGTAAGTAAGTATCTGAAGTACATTTGAATAACAGACTTCTCAGAAAATTTGTTCTTCCCATTCTCCAAGTCAGCTGTTTCTTGGATCTTGTGTGTCTCTTTAAAAGGATTCTTCTGAAATACCCTGAATGAATCTTTTAGATCACTTTGAAAAAGAAAAATAAAATGAGTTTATGGATGGGTGTGCTATTTTATCCAACTCAAATTTATTGTTATTAGCAACAAATAATCAAAGCAATACTCTTAAGAATATCAAAGGGTGCTGGGGTTGTGGCTCAGCAGTACAGCACTCGCCTCGCACATACATGTAAGACCCTGGGTTCGATCCTCAGCACCACATAAAAATAAATAAGTGAAATAAAAGTATTGTGTCCAACTACAACTAAAAAATAAATATTTTTCAAAAAAGAATATCAAAGGATGTTTAAATTAAAAAATTTCAAGAGTCTTGTTAAGGAAGTCAGGGTCTAACCTAACATGATAAAGATTTGGGCCTATTTTTTCCTCTATTAGATGCAGGGTCTCTGGTCTAATTCCTAGGTCTCTGATCCACTTTGAGTTGAGTTTTGTGCATGGTGAGAGATAGGGGTTTATTTTCATTTTGTGGCATATGGATTTCTAGTTCTCCCCGTACCATTTGTTGAAGAGGCTATCTTTTCTCCAATGTATGTTTTTGGCACCTTTGTCTAGTATGAAATAACCAAACCATATTTATGTGGGTTTGTCTCTTTGTATCAGTCAAGGTTCTTCAAAGAAACAGCACCAATTAGAATTATAAGGAGAAAGATTTTTTTTTTAATAAGGAGAAAGATTAGTCACATCCCTAGTCCTTTTTGTTTATATTTTATTAAGACAAGGCCTAGCTAAGTTACTTAGGGCCTCACTAAATTGCTGAGGCTGGCTTTTCAAATCGTGATCCTCCTGCCCAGAAAGATATTTGAGGGAAATTTTAGAGGAAATGGTTTATAAGACTATGGAGGTGAGAAGTCTCACAAAAGGTCACTGCATGTTGGAGAACAACGAGAGCCAATAGTGTGGCCCAGTCCAAGTTTTAAAAACATCAGAACCAGGGACTGGGATTGTAGCTCAGTGGTAGAGTACTTGCCTAGCACGTGAGATGCACTTAGTTCAATCCTCAGCACTATATAAAAACAAATAAATAAAGCAAAGATATTGTGCCCATTTACAACTAAAAATATTTTTAAAAAAAAATCAGAACCAGAGGCTGGGGGTGGTAGAGCACTTACCTAGTGTGACAGAATCCCTGGTTTCCATCCCCAGCACCAAAAATAATAAATCAGAACCAGGACAGCCAGTGGTGTAACTCTTAGTCTGAGGCCAAATACCTGCAATCCTGGATGACCTCTAATACAAGTTCCAGAATTTCAAAGCCAAAGAACTGAAATTCTGACATCTAAGAGCAAGAGATAGATGTCCCAGTGCCAAAGCCAATGTCTCGGCTTGGCACCAGAATCACGAGGCACTCACAGCTTTGTAGGTTCAAACAGCAATTCTTTATTCCAGCTCTCACACC